CCTCGGTCATCTTCAACAGTAAAGCAGGTTACATCTGTGAATCTACCTATCACAAGGAAGACATTCAGTTAATATTAAGTAATAATTATTGTTCCTTTCACATTCGTTGATGGGATAAAATCCTGGTAAAGAGCCTTTAAGGTCCAATTGCTTTGTAGGCATTGAAACCAAACTGCTGGTTGAAAAATTAATTGTGGAGCTGATGGAGATGGAGGAGTAGGAAATTGTTTTGAACAGGAGTATCACTCTGAACTCCATCTAAGATGCAGGAAACTAAACACCAACAGAAACTGCCCGAAAGGGCCAGAAAAGAGAAGGCCAGCCACGCGGCTGGCACTGAATGACTTCCATTCCCTTAGCAATCACCTTGGCACACAACATACATGTCAAACGAGGGACCGACAGAATTATTTAACTCAGAAACAGAAATGTCCAGAGACATTTAGAACAATGTGCAGATGATCTTTAGAGCACAAATGAAGGCCCAAAATATTAAGAAAAATAATTATAAGATTATTAATATCTGTATTAATATCAATGTTATATTAAGGTAATTGGTAGGAAATAATGTTAATATTAATGTTCACATAGTTAATAATAACCATTAATATCTGTGCTGATTCATATCATTAAAATTAAATACATAATTAAAATAAAATACTACTAATAAAATATCAATAATTATTAACATTTCCTCAGCACTATTTATGAGCCAGGTCTTATATCAAGTGAAATGTGTATATATCTGTAAATAGAAACTGTATAATCCTTATAGCAAAATGTGAAGCAAATACAATGACCCTCTTTATTTTGGGGTTTGAGGTTTTTGCAAAAGTGAGGATTGAACCCAGGGGTGCTCTATTACTAAACTACATTCCCACCCCTTTTTTAAAATATTTTATTTTATTTTGAGACAAGGTCTTGCTAAGTGGTCCAGGCTGATCTTGAACTTGTGATCCTCCTGTCTCAGCCTCCAGAGTAGCTGGGATTATGGGTTTGTACCATCACACCTAACTTACCCTCATTTTTAGGAAATCATATAGAAATTAAGTCACTTGCCCAACATCCCACACTTAGTAGTAATTTTTTAGAAAGGGATTTGTCAGGCATATGCAGACTTGCTATGCCATTTATATAATCTCTTAAGGGATCACTGAGTTTCTAGGACTTCAAGGAAGTATCCAGAGATGACCCAATTCATAGTTTTCAAATAGCTCCGTGGAATCATGAGAGTTGCTTCAGAAGTCCTACCAATAAGTGTTTGTGTCAAACAAGGAAAAGTTTGGGAGATCTCTGTTGCCCGTAGCTGCTTCATATGTTGTATTTGCTCACAAGATTTTTACCTTTAAACAAAAGAGAGAAAGAGTGTTCCATTGGTGTAAGTCAGGAGCTGGCACCTGTATTCTATACAGGGCCAGGAAGTAAATATTTTAGCCTTGTGGGCCATACCATCTCCGTTACAACAGTTCAATTTGCTGTTGTGGTACAAAAGGAGCCATGGACGTAGGTTAATGAATGAGCATGTCTGTGTTCCAATAAAACTTTATTTGCAAAAGTAGAAAGTAAGCCAGACTCAATCTGCAGGCCATAGTGCACTAACTCTGATCTCAGTCATGTCTTTGTCTAAGTGGAGTTTGCCTAAACCTCCTAAATAGATGATTATCTTTGTTGCTCACAAAGAGAGAAGCTACATCATCCAAGACCCTGTATTGATTAAAGCCCATCATCAGAAAACTGATGCCACCGTTTAAGAAGGAAAGGAACAAATGTGTATTTTGAATGTGGACTTTGGTGCCAGGCACCCCACCAACAGTTCTACATCTAACTTAATCTCCATTGTCGCTGGGTGGATGTCATGACCTCCCAAGACAAAGAAAGAACCGAGGATTGAAGGTGTGAAAATGGAATCCAGAGTCAAGCCAATGTCCCACCACCTGCCGTCTCACCATACCAACACAGCCAAAGCCACACTTGTCCTGTCACCTAAAGCAGTGGAGGGTCATGGATGCCAGCCTCAGTCTACCCTTTGCCAGGAGAAACCAACTTCACTTCAGGGCCTCCCTTTGTTACCCAAGATGCTTCACTAATTCTCTCACAGAGATTGAAGTACCAGTATTCCTGGTTTATCTGAGATTTCCCACGCCACCTCACAAGACAGGAACAACCTTGCAATTTCTATACTATTCTTTCATTTGTGGTTTCTGGGCATTTACTCTCTGTCTTAACAGGCTGCATTGGGAGTTTGCAGTTACTTGCTGATACTCCTCATGATCCATCTGTCTTTTATAAAAATTGGTTTCCATCTCTGTTTTAGTCACTATTTTTCTGCTGTGACTTAAAGACCCAACCAGAGCGACTATATAGGAGGAGAAGTTTATATGAGGGCTCATGGTTTCAGGAGTGTTAGTCCAGAGAAGGCCAGCTTCATTGGTCTGGGTTCGAGGTGAGGCTGATTATCACGGCAGAAGAATGTGGCAGAGGGAAGCAACTCACATTATGATCAGGAAGCAGAGGGAGATCTCCACTTGCCAGATACAAATATGTACCCCAAAGCACAGCCTTAAAGCCCCACCTCCTCCATCCACACCCCACCTGCCTTCAGTTACCACTCAGTTAATCCCATAAGGCATTAATTCACTGATGGGGTTGAGGCTCTTGTAACCCAATCATTTCTTCCCTGAACCTTCTTGCTTTGTCCCACACGTGAGCTTTTGGGGGACGCCTCACATCCAAACTATTAACAATCTCCATACTTCATTTTCTATCTCCTGTTTTCATCAGTCTTGAATTCATACTATACTGGGAAATTTTGGAATACAAAGTCTTGGGTAACCTTCTTTTCTTCTAATATTTATTGGCACCACTAGCCTGGTTAGAAATCCAATTTTTTACTCCACCTTGGCATATTTTGAAATTTTGAGGCTGGGATATTGATGGAATACTCAGTCTCTTCCAGAATATAATCATTGCCTTCTTTGAGGTTCCCCCCAAATCCCTTGGACCTGAAGGACCTCTTATGAATTCACTCTGGATTCGTTTCCTTTCAAGAACCAATCAGCCCCATTGGACTGGCCTCAGGAGGTTGGTGCCAGTCCAAAAGTCAGTGACAATACGGCCTATAGTGGCTCTTGGTTCCAGAAAAAAATCTATGTCCAAGAGCCACAGCTGTCCACCTCCACAACAGAATGGTAATCCAGCTGCGTGTGAAACAGAGGAGAAATCCATCATATGTGGGAAAACTCAGCCATCAATAAGCCGCTCTGCAGGCCTTCCAGTTGGGGACCAACCACAGAATTGGCTCTCCATCAACAATCAAACAGTCTTTAGCTATGATCAGCCACTTCCATCACCTCAGAGACTGGCAGGTTTCCAATAAAGCCAATAGCCCCCTCCCCCAGGGTAAGGTCCTCAGCGGGAGGCCGCCATTGTCTTTTAGCCCAGCAATTTGACAACAGTGTTAGCTTACACTCTATTAGCCAGCAGCTACACCCTGACCCCTGACCCTGACATTGACCTGCCACAGCCCTCTCCTGAGGTAGACTCTGATCTTTTGAGGTGGCCCGCCCTGCTGGTTAGCACAAGAGAAGGCCCCGTCAGGACTGTGCATGCTCTCTGGTCACCCCTGCTCCCAACAGGATGCTAAAGGCTCAGAGTACAGAAACAAGCCAGAGTTGAACCCAAGATGGCAAAGGTGAAAGTTCAGACGCATATCCATCAGCAGCCTGTCACCCAAGGACGAGGTTAAAAACCATGGAAGCTTTCAGCACAGGGATAGCCCTTGTCTCCAGACAGTTCTGTGACTTAATGGAAAAGACATATCAAAATATGGCTTACAAAATACAAAATAATGGACTGAGATGTACATTATATGAGGGTGTTAGATTGCAGTGTACTTTACAGTGGGGGAATTAGATTGAAGTGTTATGCCGGGTAGTTAGGGTGAAATATGGATCATCCTAGGAAGTTAGCTTGAGATGTGCTCTATAACACAGTTGTTAAATTAAGATGTGCTCTGCAGTGCAGGCGTTGGCCCGGGACATGCATTATAGCAAAGTTGTTAGGGGAAGATGTGGGTTCCACTTTGGGAGTAGGGGATAGGAGAGAGGAAAATCACCTTGAGCTGCGTACCGTTCAGGTTACCGGATGTCTTCTGCATCAGGTGGAGGGCAGAGGTTTGAATGGAGGGAGCAGGAAAGAACACGGAGCCTAATGTTTTTCCCCTTCTTTCTTCCCAGCCAAACAATCTGCCATTCCCCACTTTCCCTGTTAGGGCCTTAAAGGCCTCCCCCATCAATAAAAACATTAGCTCACTAAACAGCCTGATGGCTTTTCCTTCCCTGGCTTAACCCTTCGGGAGCTGGGGTTTCCTTTGGATTTGTAAAGATATTGATTCCAGATAATGTTTGCCTTTCTAACTCTCTCTTCCTTCGACTTGATGGATAGGTTCAGGGCTACATCTCGGCAGCCAACTCACCGCAGCTACCCAGGGAAAGGGGACTGGAGAGTGTAGGCGAGGGCTCAGTAGTTAACACCGCTTGAATCCCTTCCCTGGGATGGACAGGCTCTGGAGAGGTGGGAGGCTGCAGTCACTTTAAATCAGCCTAGATTTCGCTTTCAGTTTTCCTCCTGGTTGTCCTGATTCCTCCACCCATATTTCCTCAGCTCAACTTAGAGGGTTTTATAATTTATAATCAATATCAGATGCCATCTTGGGATTGGTTGCCCTGAGCTGCATTCTTAAAGACTCCATTTCCAGTGAAAGAATGGGTTCTTCTACAGCACTAGCCACAAGAGTGAATTTCAGGTAGCTGTCGTTCAGCTTGTGACACTGGCCAACCTGGGGGATGGCTTTAATAAACCCTTGCCCCAGATACAAATCTCATCCAAGAAAAATAAGCAAGGAGGAGATGGGAGGGTCACCTCACTCATTAGCTGCTCGGCCTACAAAGGTTCACCGAACGTTGAAAACAGTAGTTTTTTTCCTTTCTTCTCTTCCTTAGCTCGGAAGATATAATTTCCAGCCTCCTGGAGTCTAGCCTCAAGTGATTGGATGGTGTCCAGCTTGGCTGGAGTCAGAGAGGTGAGTTTCAGATCTCTTGTTTTTCGTGAAAGAAAATGCTATAGTAGGTGAGTTAACGCAGTCGAAGAGACCAACCTGGCAGACAAGGACACCAAACAAAATCAAAACCTTCAAATGAAATTTCAGCGTCACCAAACACCTCCACATTATTCCTGAGGTTCCTGGGAAGAGCCCAGCAGCCATCTCTGGGCAGGTATCAGGCCGTCTTTCTCTAGTTAGAAAAGCGAGTTTGGTGCAGGACTGTGCCATTTGCCTTCCGTGGCTGAGCTTCCTATGGGCAAAACACGGTGAATGTGAGAGGAATACTCTGTCCAGGTGAGAAGGCAGCCCCACCCACCGGCCACCGTCCTGGCCAACTGTTCCCACTCCCATCTCCGAGCGCTTCCTGGTGTGTGTTCTCATTTCTTGGTGTCCATTCCTGCCTCATTTTCTGACATCACATTTTCCTTAAAAATAGGCTGTTGAGAGCTATTTCTAATCTCCGTCAAGGGATCTGTCCAACCAGACTCCCACGGGATGTGGGAATGAACTTAAAATCAATCCTGGAGAAGAAAGGAAAGAAAGGGGGTGGCAGAGGGTTGGCCTATTCCCAGACTCCGTTTTTAAACAAACCATCTACTGGGTCAAGTGAGATATTTGGGGGCTTCTCCCTGCGAAGGGAATGACAATACGGTTCTCCTTAAACACCTCCTAAAACTCCACCTCAAAGAAGAAAACAGATAGCGTGAGACAGGATCAGGGCCACCTAATAGTCAGGAGCAACTTTGGGATCTATTCCAACCCTACTCAGTTGGGCCTTTCTCAACCTCAGTTTCTCCATCCATAAAATGGTGATGAGAATAGTATCTACCCTTACAGGGATATTGCGAATAAGAAATAGGACAATGCATGCTAAAAGCTCAGTCTTGTGACTGCCACAGAATCATCTCTCAATAGACAGGAGCTGTTAACTTTGTCATTTATCACCATGCAACAACTAGTTGGAGAAAGGTGCTATATGTGACGTGCCACATACAGACCCCCCTATGTTCTCATTAACCCATCTGGTTTTGGAATCAACTGTAACTCAGCTTTACTCCTTTATGAGACTATTATGTATAAGGATTTTATTTGTATAAGAAGAAGGTTGGCCCTGCCAATGAGAGGAGAGACAGATCACAAGGGCTCACTGATGGAATACAATCCCCTCTGTACTCATTGGGAACTAGTCGTGATTGTATTTCAAAGGTAGCAGTTCGTCTCCACTGCAGTATTGGCGTGCGATCCATAAATAGGACCTAATGTGATCCGACAGGCCTGATTTCTCTAGATATATATTAAAACAACATGCCCACTGCCAATGGCTCAAAGGTCCTGACCTTTAACCAAGACTTATGACGTAAGGCAACCTGCCCAGGAGAGCAAGCAGGCAGAAGGCCAGAGGGACAAGGTCATCGACTAATGAAGTGGTCAGCATTGAGTTTCTGTCACTCAGCTGGTTAAGAGGAAACGAAGAGGCAGGTCTTTTTTAAAAAAACAAGAACATTTAAGAAACAAAGGGAAGGACTGTGTTGAAGCTAATACTCGGATGGTGAATTGGTACTGTCAGAAAGTGGGGTAATACTTCACAGCCTGAACCTTCACTGTGGACTCATTTAAGTTCACCTGCTGGACAGGGGCTGGTAGAAAGAGCACTTGCAAGAAGCTAACTCAGTATAAATTCAAGTTAAAATGAAAATAAGCAGGTCCAGAACCAACCACCCTGCTTCTTAGTTCAAATCTGCTCCAGACTCTCAGCCAGGACTGAGGTCAAAAGCGCAGGCGTGGAAGTGGATTCCAGACTGATGCTCCCTGTGCTTGGGTAACTTCCTCCTGAGCCATGGGTTATCATCCAGAGAACTGGAATGACTGCGATATTTACCTCCAAAGAGGTTTGTAGGATAAAGGAGAAATTTTATTTAAAGGAGTCAGCACAGTTCTTGGCACAAAATGATTGTACAAGTGTCGGCAATTATTATTGTTATTCCACACAGTGATAATCCTAGAAAGCATGAATTGGTTTTTAAATAGATAATAAATTGTGTATTGTAGATTAAGAACACAGTTCACTTTGTGTGAGATTTCACAGTGCCAATCTTGAATGTTTCCCATTGGTGGAATGATTCAAACTTGTGTGTGTGTGTGGTGTTCCTGAGGATTGAACCCAGGGGTGCTCCACCACTGGGTCATATGCCTAGACCCTTTTTGTTGTATTTCATTTTATTTCTTTTACTTTGAGACAGGGTCTTGCTAAATTGCCCAAGTTGACTCTGAACTTGCCATCCTCCTGCCTCGGCCTCCTGAGTCACTGAGATTATAGGCATGCATCACCAAGCCCAGCTATGGTTCAAACTTTTGAACCATTTACCCAGTCAACAAACATTTATTGAAAACCACTGTAGTAGGTCCTGCACATGGCATCGTACTGAATCAGAATTGTTCTTGATTTGGTTCTTCACAGGCTTGCTAGGGAAGCAGGAACATGGAGATGTAGGACACAAGTTTAAAAAAAAAAATTTCCTCTTAGAAACACTTTCATCAGAACCAGATTAGAATCCAGCTCTTGAACATCCCAAGGCACAAAGGTGCAACAGGTTTCATATCCATTTCTTCAGGGATTAAAAAGATTATGTTAATATGTTAAACCTTTTCTATCTCGTTTCTCAAAATGAAGCACTGTGTGTTAGTTATAGAAGCATTCAACAGGGATTGAAGACCAGCACGCTGGTCCCACCAGTACCATGGTCTCCCTCAAGTCCAGTAGCCTCTGATGTCTCAGGTTCCAAGGTTAGGAAACTGCTTCGTATTCCCTGCCCACCTGTGCCTCATGAAGGTGATACATGGCTGAACTGAACGTATTGAACTGAAGAAGCACTTTGAGTGTTCCAATGGGAATGATGATCAAATGAGACTTTCCTAGCCTGGGGACAAAGAGCTGTCACCAAGGCATTTAACTCCCTATTCCCATGGTGACCCAGCCAAACTTCTTTCCAGAACTCAGTACCTTGGGACATTTAGAGGGTGGGAGATGGAAATGGTGGGGGGAAAAGCACATCATCTCAAACGCCATTACCCAAAACTGTTCTCTGTCTCTTTCAAATGAGGATCTAGCTTTCAGCTTTCCTTTTTCTAATTATAAAGAAGTGTATATCTTTATGCAAGCAGTTTATGAAAGCATAAAGAAAATTATAATCATCCCAAATTCCACCACCCACAAGTCAACACTGTTAACCTGGACTTCAACCTATCACATGTCTTGGATACATACATATGTGTCTAAGGGTCTTCTTTTATGTCATTGGTATATTATACACACTACCCACAACAATTTATATCATCAGTGAATTGTGGACTTACATGCTCCTTTTCAATAATGGCCTTCCCTTCCAGTGTCGGATGTACCATCGTTTATTTAACCTCCTGTTGGTGGACAGTAATATTGTAAGCAATGCTTTAGTGAACATCCTTGTGCTCAGGGAGTCTATCCAGTTCCTCCTTAGGATAAACTCCTATATGTTAGAATTGCTAAAAAATTGCTTCAAACAGTGGAGCACAGAAGGAACAAAAGGGCAATGACCAGGACTGGGGTCGTAGCTCAGTGGTAGAGCACTTGCCTAGCACATGTGAGGTACTAGGTTCGATCCTCAGCACCACACAAAACAAATAAACAAAAATAAAATAAACCAACAAATCAATTAATTAAAGGTATGGGGTCCATCTACAACCAAAAATATATTTTTCAAAAAGGAGGGAGGCAATGAGCAGCCAAGCTGAAGAGTGCCATCAACCCCAGTGACCTGGGACAATCGCAGAAGCCCATATCCATTCTTCCATGAGGAGTGAAGAGTGAGCCACAGCCTGAGACCCAGCCCCCTGCCATGATGTCCCAGAGCTGGATGGTTATGTTCTTTCATTTCCCGCCTCCTCTTCCCTTTGCCTGCTCTTTGGAGCCCTTGCACAACAGACATCCCTCCCTGCCCCTGAAGAAGGCACACTTCATCGCCTCCGACCATCAGCAGGTGGACTCCGTCTCGTCTCCAATGGGTGTGCTTCCTGGCGGCTTTCCTCCATCCAGGCGCAGGTTGATGAACTCCTTCAGGGCGAAAGCAGGCACTGGGGCAGCCTGAGCAGCGAGTTGAGTTTGGTGATTACATTGCAATGTTTTAATTTGCCTTTGGGCAAATTCTCATAAGCTTTCACGAGAAAATCTCCCATTAGATGTAGTCATTTAATTTAAGAACAGTTGGGAGACGAAGATGAGCTAAGATGACAGATGGAGGAATCCAGATGCACGTCTTAGAGGGACGTGGAAGCACTCTGAGGATTTGGCATCCAGCAAAGCACCATGTGAGCTCCACTGCTTGTGTCCATGGACGTGAGACATTGTCAAGAAATCATTGAAATATAAAGATATATTTAGGCCACCAAGGGGTCTCATTATTTTCTCCTGTTTGTAAAATCATAGCAAGGTCAACTAAAGGCCTGGATACTTCCCACACACCCCAAGCCCAGAAAACACACACACACACACATACACACACCACAAATTTGAAAGCCTTACAGGAAGGCAAAACAACACAAAATAATAATAATAACAAGCCTTGTTTGAGAGACGTTTCCTTTGGTCCCACTGCCACAAAGATAACTTTTTAAATTCCATGCTTACTCTGGCCTCCTCGAATCAGATTTTCTGTATATCCTAATTTGGTGTTCATATAATTCAACATCTATTATTGTTTTAGGACCATGGTTATTATTTTAATTATAATTTAAAGCTGCCTAATATACCCAGAGGTCATTTGGGCACCTAAAAGAAATAAATAAAAACAACTTGCCATTTTTAAAAGCAGCATGTTTATTTGGAAGTCCCAAGAGCCACTCAACCAAGACATCATAAAACCTTCAAATAAACGAAAACGGAAACAAAATAAAATGTCTGTTCTTAATCTCCTTAGAAGGCAAGCAGGAGAAAGCTGCCGTTG